AAAGAAGTTGCTCAGCTGAGGGATGAGAGGCTCTGATCTGTGGACCTAACGATAGGTCATTAGGAGTCTTTGTTGGAGTCTGTGGATGGTCGTGCATGTGCTTGTGGGAACCGGACGTTAGCATCAGAGCTGTTATCTCGGTATCTCTCCACTTTACTCTTTGAGACAGTCTCTTTCTAAACCTGGACTCACTGGTTGTCTAGATTGGACAGCCCTCAAGCTCTAGGGATACCACTCCCCAGGATTTAAGGCATGTTCTGCCAAAACTACTTTTTTTGTGGGTGCTAGATAGCTAATTTAGGTCCTGATGCTTATGCAGTAAGTACTGAACCATCTTCCTAAGCATTCTTCCCGCATTTTGAGACATGTAGTAGAATCAATTTAAGCTTGTCCCTGACTAGCTTACATATAAATGAGACTCAGACTATGGTTATTTTATTTGGTTTTGACAATACTGGTGGGTAACCCATAATCTATCTACCTTACTAGCTCCTGGCCTGGCTACCTCTCTAGGAGTGTTCCCAAATACTTGCTGTTTCTTCTGGCCATGTGTTTGTGGTACATTGCCTCCTGTGGCACTTTCTTCTCTCTCCTCCTCCTTATTCCTCCTTCTCCTCTGCTGTCTACCTTCAACCAAGTAACTCAGATCCCATCTACCCTGCAGTAATTGGCTGTAACCATTTTTATTTAACCAATAGTTTTAAATTAAGAAACAAGATTTGCACAACAAAAGCTAGTAAGCTCAATAATTCACTGGTATGCCTTCAGGTACAGAGTTTAGCATTACAGTATGTAGCAACAGACCACACCTCCACTAAGACAGGGTCATTTACTGTGTCCCGATTAGCCCCGAACTTACTATGTAGCTGATGATAGCCTTAAACTTAGGATCCTCTTGGCACCACTACTAGGGTGCTTGGATTCCAGGTATGTATCACCACACTGGGCATATATGCAGTTCTGGGGATCACACCCTGGAGGCACATGTAGGCATGCTCTCTCTGTACCAGCTGAGTTACACTTCTGCTCAGCTTTTTACTTGCTATTTTATCTGGGGATATATATTACTCAGGCTAGTCTCTGACTCATCTTCCTGCCTTGGTCTCCCAGGTAGCTGAGGCTAGAGATGCATGCCACCCTGTGTGTGCACACTCTAACTGGAGTCAGGCTTCCACAGCGCCATCGCTGTCAAGGCCACGGAGTGCTCCTGTGCTCGCTCATCTTCCTTCTTAGGTTTTCAAACCTGTGTGTGTGTTTTACATGCTCCACATGCAGGTGTGGGTGGGAGCCACACCTCAGAGGCCAGCAGAAGCATCGGACTCCCCTAAAACTGAAGTTAAAGATGGTTGTGAGCCACCATGTGGGTACTGGGCCCTACAAACTCAGCTCGGTTCTAGGAGCTAGTGCTCTTAACTCTGAGCCATCTCTCCAGTCCTTCATCTTTTAAAAAAGTATGCATTAATTGTTTGTGTATGGGTATGATGTGTGTTGTGGAGGTCACAGGACAACTTTGTGAAGATGGTCTTCCATGTCTGTGTGGGCAAAAGGCTGTGCAGCATGCATCTTTTCCTGCTTAGCCTTCTTCTTGACTTCAGCAGATCTCAGGGCCTACTCCCTCCCGTGGGCTTTAGTGTCCTTTCCTTCTTGGGTAGCTGGCTTGATTAGAACTAGGAAGACAGCTCAAGTGTCCTGGGGAGGAGGCTCAGAAGGACTACAGTGCTCCTTACAAAGCAGTGCCTGGCCAGCTAGGAACACTGGAGCCCTCATAAAGGCTCTTCACCTTTGAAGAGGGTCACCAAGAACAGATAGTATTTGAAGGGTTACATTTGTTGTCTAATCAGTGTACAAATCGAACCTAAATTCTTGGGTGTCTGAGCACTCTGAATCATTTGGTATGCAACAAGAATTGGGCACCATTGGGTTTTGCTACTACTACAAAGCAAAGAACAATAGTTTACTTACTCAGAAATAAAATTTACATACTCCTGAGCTGAGAATATCACTCAAGAGATCGAACATCTACCTGACAAATAACCAGAGAAACAGTAGCCACAACAGCAAAGCCTGACAGATCTGTACACACAAGTGTTATTTAAACTCAGTTCATCTCCGAGTTTGTCTTTTTCCCATCCATGGGCATGAGAGATCACTCAGAAACTTGTCTGACCCGAGGCCTTTTTTAGGTGTCATCTGCTTTCCTCCTGCTCTCAGGCTGTTACTGGGAGGGTGCTCCCCGCCCTGACTTCCTCACCCTCCCGTTCCCTCCAGCCCCCATAGGTGCAGCTCCCTTGAAGGTTCTCACTGGGCGGTTAGAGGCTGATGCCATGGGAGTCCCTGTAGTGTCCTCTGACTCCTCTGTCTTGCCGCCTTGTCCTCCATGGTCGCCCGTCCTCCAGTGTCTGTCTTGTGTTTTTCAGGGTAGCCTTGGCTTCTTTTGTCCTACTTTTCTGTGCTCTTTCTCTTCATACTTTGTCACCAGCTCTCACTCCCAAGTGTCTCTGCCGCTTCATCAGACTCTTGTATTGAACTGCTTGATAGGCATGTGCTCCCACGCTTCCTGACTTCCCAAACTTAGCATCTTAACCACACACTGCTCCTCAGCAGGGCATGCAGGCACTCTTTATTCCTTTCCTTATCTGTGGTTGGAAACTTAGCCTCTTAAACCCTCAAGTTTTGTCTCCTTGAGAGCCAACTGCACATTCTGAATTAGAGTTGTGGTAAATTGAGCTTAAGATGGCATATCATTCTGCCATTAGCAAGCCATTATACTCAGAAAAATCATGCCCGTCTGTCTTTTGGCTGAAAGAATTGAAGTTTGATTCAAGAACAGACTTCCCTAAAGTCAGTATTAGAAGACTAAGACTGCATGAGCTCATCTTTCAGGAAGATCCGCAAGGGACTGTGTTCTCTCTGACCCTCCATATTTAGAACTACAGCTAGACAGTACGACTTCATAGTCCTTGTAGCTATTAGGTTCGGGCAGGCAACGGTGCTCCCACCTCCATCCCCAGCTGGTGGCAACAGTGCTCCCTTTCCTTTGAGTCCTGTTGATTTCTTAGATCCATTAAAGATTTTTTTTTTTTTTTATAGATTGGTCTCATGAGAGTCCTTCAGTACAATTGGATGTTTTTATTTTCAGAAATCCTATATTGACTCTATATGGGAGTTTTAGGTTATATACAGTTAGAATGTTTAGCACAGAGACATCAGGAAAAGCTGCTTGCCATCAGGCCCGATGACCTGAGTTCTGGAGTTCTGTTCCCTAGGACCCACATGGTAAACGGAGCAGACCTCTCCAAGTCGTCCTCCCTCCACACACTCTCTGTAGCAAGTCAGTTATTCTGACGTACTCAGCAGTGAGCAAGAGATGCTGTATCAAACAAGGTGGAAGACAAGGATGATGCTACTGTCATGCATGCACCCCCCCCCCCATAACTAGTCAAAGGAAAATGATCGACTGTTGACATGAGATCTGTAATCAAGCACTAGGAGGAGGCTCCTTCATTGCTGTGAGATTCTCTGGGGAGGGTGGGGGCAGGCTTCAGGCTGCTGAGTGCCAGGGCCGTTAAGACGCTGGACAGACTTGGAGAACAAGGAGAACTCAGGCACTTCCTCCGTGGAGTTTCTCAGCAAGTAAATCTGTAATCACCATGCCTTGTGATCTCTGCTGGGAGGGAGCCAAGGCGTGTCTCTGCCCTCCACTTCCTCTGAGAAAGTGGACAAAGTGCAGTCAGTACACACATTCCTAAAAAGCCCTGGGTGGGGGTCTCATCGTCCTTGTGCCCAGACCCTGTCCCTGTAGATTCCTTCAGCACAACAGGATGTTTTTATTTTCAGAAATCCTATATTGGCTCTTAAAATCAGGGAGAGGGGACTTTCAGGTTATATACCATTAGGATGCTCAGCTGAGACTTTATGTGTTGCCTGGAGAGTTGACACCACATTGGCATCCTTGGTCTCTGCAAGGATTGGGCCAGACCTGCTCTTTCTGCAGAATGGAACTGGGGGCCAGTCTCTTCAGCTTGCAGCCACACTTCCCAGTTTGGGGGTGGGGAGCAGTCCTGCCTGGAGGGTTTGGGTGGCCTTAGGGTAGGGTGGCAGATGTGCCTGTGAGACCAGGCTGCCTGCTGTAAGCCAGCAGGAGGAAGGGATCTTTAGAAGCTTTGTTTGCCTATGGGCTTTCTCCTGGCACCACATGGCTCCAAAAAGGAGGAAGGACAGCATTGCGTCCAGCAGTGACAGGCCCTTTCTGTCTCCTTTTGTGGAGGATCTTTCACATGTCCCACACATTTCATGTCATACCAGAGACCCTTATTTTAAGAGGACTAGGGAGGGGAGACCAAAGGACCGTGCCTCCTGTGCCCTGGCTCATCTCTGTCCCCACCCCTATTTTTAAATTTATATTTCATGTGTATTGTTTTGCCTGCATGTATGCCTGTGTGAAGGTGAGGGCATTGGAGGGTATCTGGACCTAGAGTTACAGACAGTTGTGAGCTGCCATGTGGGTGCTGGGAATTGAAACCAGGCCTTTGAAAGAGCAGCCAGTGCTCATAACTGCTGAACCATCTCTCCAGCCGCTTCTCTCTGCTTTTAAAGTTAGCAATAATACTAAATTCTTATTGGCACACACTGCCAGCCTGGGTCTTAGTGCATTATGGGCGTTACCTCACTGAAAGTCTAGCCCAGGCAAGGGGTATGTTCATGAGCATCCTCACTTGCAGTTGGGAACACAGATACATAGCCATAGGTCAGTGAGTTAGGAATAAAAAAAAACCAAAACCCACCTGGGCTCTGACTTCTTGTTCCCTTCTGACTCTAGAATAACAGAGTTAACTCTGAACTATCCAGGGAAACCCCTTCTGACCATTAGTTCTCCACAGCCCTCTAAGTGGTAGTCTCATCTGCCTCTCGTATCTTGGTTAACACCTTCTTCCTCTCCAGCATCATAGCCCTTGCTGAAGTGATGACTTCTTGTTCTTCTTTCTTCTCCCTCCTCCCAGGACCCTGCAGGAATCTTTGAGCTGGTGGAGGTGGTTGGCAATGGAACCTATGGACAGGTGTACAAGGTGAGACATGGACAAAAATATAACCTTTAGACCTGTGGGCCTCTTTAGAGGAATGGAGGAAGGTGAGTCCCAGGTCTGGCAGTCTGAGGGAAGCTACAGGAGATGACAAAGGCTGGGGTCCCCTTAGGGAAGAAGGAAAGCACAGACCACAGAGAGCAGCAACAGAAAGAAGGAAGACATCGCTGAGTGTACAAGTGCTTTTGGGTGTGACAGGAACCAGTCTGTAGCTGGTGGTTGTAGGTAGGATGCAGGAAGAGTATGTGGGGACATGGGTGTCAAGGCTCACCTGGAAATTCATAGATCATTGGCAAAATTGTGGGTGGGTACCTCCCAAGCTTAAGGGAGACTTGGGGTAGATGAGCCCTCACAAGTGGCCTCAGAGAGGAAGTGGCTTTGTTGACCTCCTGCAGCTGCTTACATCAGGGAGCCAGCAGAACCCAAGCTGCCTGCTTTTGAGCTGCTTCTCCTGCTCACAGAAGTGGCATTTCCTCTGCCCCCAATTAGTTTTTTCAACTTGGCCAGCTCAGCACTCTCAAGTAGCCAGGCCTCCTCGGCTACATAGAGTGGCCACATTGGTGAGGGGAATAAGTTGGGTGCTGCTCCCAAGAACATTTAGTCTGCTTCCTTATCTGAAGACAGCTCCTGACATCTCCACAGATGCACCTGCCTGCCTGGGTCTCCTGGTCACTTGGACTAAGAGCCTTTCCCCCAACCTGTTCCCTTTGTAAGTGTGAACTATGGGGGAACAGACAGTGCACAGTTCCTGCTGAGTCCCATCCATCCAGAGAGCTGGGCTTCTCTGTGCTTGGGTTTGTGGTGGCTATGGAAGAAAAGACTCAGGGGTAGCGATGCCCATGTCCTTCCTATGAACAGTTCTTGTCAGGAAGACTGGGACTTTCTTGTTCAAGCCATTGATTTTTTAAAAAATATTCATTCATTCATGCATTCATTCATTCATTCATTGTGTGTTCTATCTTCACACCAGAAAAGAGAATCAGATCCCATTACAGGTGGTTTGTGAGCCACCATGTGGGTGCTAGGAATTTAACTCAGGACCCCTGGAAGAGCAGTCAGTGCTCTTAGCTGCTGAGCCATCTCTCCAGCCCCACATTGGTGTTTTTTTTTTTTTTAAGATTTATTTATTTTTTTATTTATATGAGTACACTGCAGGTATCTTCAGACACATACTAGAAGAGGGCATCGAATCACATTACAGATGGTTGTGAGTCACCATGTGGTTGCTGGGAATTGAACTCAGGACCTCTGGCAGAGCAGTCAGTGCTCTTAACCATTGAGCCATCTCTCCAGCCCCACATTGGTGGTTTTTAACCAAGGATCTCAGAAGAGTAGGTAGGTGGGTGGGTAGGGTGGGAATCGAGTCAGAGAAGCTGTGGCACAACACAGACACTCCATAGGATGTGGGACGGATCAGCTGCCCCTGTGTGCCTAAACTCAGTGGTGTGGCTGTGATTTCTCTGAGAACGTAAAACACTTCGGGCATAAGATTGATCCAGGGAAAGGCCTCCTGTCTAGAGTGGCTGGGCCAGGAAAGCACCAGACATTTTACTTTACATAGATGAAGGAAAGGGTTAACCTCTTTCTAGCCTTCATCAGGATATGGAAGTTCCTTCACTCTAACTTTCAGTCTGGTGAAAATCCCCACCAGGGAGGATGGAACTGAGCAGTGCATCTGTTGGCAGCTCAGGTGCTGTGTGTGGGAGCTGTTATCTTTGTGGAAGTTTATCTTTATTGCCTAGAAATGTCTGGGCAGTTTTACCCTCGCTTGGGATGGCTGAAGAGCCTCTCCCTTGCCTTCTGCTTTGTAAAGAGAGGCATCTAGCTACATGGAGGACACATTCTAAGATAGAAAAGCACTAAGGGACATGGCTTTTCCCAGAATCAATTCCTCTTCCTTATTTTACTAAGTGAGCATATACTGGGACCCCTCCACACCCTCCATATTGGACTGTCTTGCAGGGGCGGCATGTCAAGACTGGGCAGCTGGCTGCCATCAAGGTCATGGATGTCACAGAGGTAGGAAATGGAGCTGGGAAAGATGGAGCTGGCACCAAAAAAGGGTCTGTAGGAGCCCAGGCCTCACCTCCCCTGTTTGCCTAGGATGAGGAGGAAGAGATCAAACAAGAAATCAACATGTTAAAGAAGTACTCTCACCATCGCAATATTGCCACCTACTATGGGGCCTTTATCAAGAAGAGCCCTCCTGGGAACGATGACCAGCTCTGGGTAAGAAGTGCCCTTCCTGCCCTTCCTCCTGTAGGACAAGGCCAGTGTCTTTTGTATTTGTTCTGTCAGCCCTGCCTTCAGTGTGGATCTAAAGGAACCTCATGACTCACGGAACTCTTTGTTTAGTCTTGTATACCCAGTGTCTTGTCCTCGTGTGTCTAGTTATCCTGGTATTTGTCTCCTTCATCCTCCGTTTACCCTAGCTAGTCAGCAAGCACTTCTTAATCGGTGAGCAGTGAGAATCTTGGGCATGGCCAGAAGACGGGGATGAGGATGGGGGAAGCTTAGTCTGTAAGTTCTTGTGCCTTTGAATACAATATTTAGAAAGCCATAGAAACAAAGTATCTGTGGGAAACAATAGGACTCAGACCCATCCTGGCAGCACACAGCCCTTCTGGGCGATGGTTTGAACCAAAGCCTACCCAGATACCTCCTGACCCAGAACATACCTAAGAGTCATTCTCGCCCTAGCTTAGACATCAGTGCCGCCGAGTTTCCCTTTGTGGTGCTGGGCCCATACTTTAGGGAAGAGTTGCTAGGGAGATCATTGTAGCTATTGAGACAAGATCGCAGGTCTCACCCCCTGGAAGCACACTAGACTTGCATCTTCTCAACAGCCTGCAAAGATGAGCATCAGACATGGTTGCAGCCTCAGTGGCCTTAAGGATTTTAGGGGACACATACCACACACCAAATTGTGTATAGTAGAAGACCATTGAGGACTGGGAGCAATAGCAGTCAAACGCTCTCTTGTTAACTATGGGGTACTGGGCCTCTACTCCACCCACTGTGTTCTGTTGTCCTGGTGGTTGGACACATGGCAGTTACTTTAATTACATAGCAAATATTCCAGTCCCAACCAGCCTTTCTTAAGTTAGATGTCAACTTTAGTGAAACAGTTGGAAGGAGTCACTCCCGAGTCCCCTTTAGCAGCACACTGAGCGGGACCCTGTGAGCTTCCTTGGTAGCCTCAGCCCCTTCTTACCTGAGTCAAAGGTGTTGAGCTTTTTCTGGGAAGGTCCAGATAGTAAGCACGTCAGTCACATGATCACAGTTGCTGTTACCAGTACTCACTTCTGCTCACACCCTGAAAGCAATAGAGACTCTAGCACATGAATAGCTAACCATGGCTAGCCAAGCAATGTGCCTCATACCTAGTCCCAGCACTCAGGAGGCTGAGGGCAGGAGGAGCGTGCATTTAAGGCTACTGTCTGGGAGGACTCTCACTCAAACAGACCTGAAAATGAGGTGTGTCTGAATCCCAAATTTATATTTAGGTTATTAAAATTTCCTGTTTTTCTCATTTGTCATGAAATAGTATTCTTTGGGTTTTTTTTCCCCCTAATCATTGAATTAATTAATCATTGGACACAGGCTGAGGAGATGGCTCAGTTGCCTTTCAAGTATGGGGACATGAGCTAAGAACACACAAATAGCTGATCATGACAGTAGATGTTTGTACCCAGTTATGGTGAAATGGGAAACAGACTGGGAACAGCTAGTCTGGCCTGCTTGTTGAGTCCCCCCCACCACACACACATGGGGGGATGGTATACATTATCCATTGATTCAGGCTGAGCAAAGCTCACTGGTGCTCACCTCGTATCTTGAGTGCAATCCTTAGTATCCCATGTATACACAGAAGTCACTTACCGGAGCTGGATGGCACTGTGACACACACACCTTTAATCCCAGCACTTGAGAGGCAGAGGCAGACGTATCTCTTGAGTTCAGGGCCAGCCTTGTCTATATAGTGAATTCCAGTTAGAACTACATGGTGAGACCCTGTCTCAAAACAAAACCAAAAATAAAAATTTACAAAGCAAAAACCCACACACAAAACAACATTCTTTGGTACCTGTGCTTGCCACCCCCTGCTCTAGAACAATAGTTCTAAGCCAGTTTGGGATTCTAGGGAAAATATGATTAAAGCACTGGACACTTCAAGGGAAATGAGATAGCCTGTATCACTGTGCTGACAATTTGGGGGATTCTTTCATTCTTTATACTACCAGTTCTTCTCCAAGTGTGTGCCTTCTCTCTGACCTCAGGGAAATCCTGTGGTTTCTAAGGGATCATCTAGCCCCTGCTGTCTGACGCACACTAGTCTGGTCCCCAAACCTGGTCTTCCTCCAGGAGTCTGGTTGGGGGCAGAGGCCTTGCTTGACAGACATTTCTCTTCCTGCTTGTTTTCTTGGACCTGGACCATAGCTGGTGATGGAGTTCTGCGGTGCTGGTTCAGTGACAGACCTGGTGAAGAACACAAAAGGGAACGCTCTGAAGGAGGACTGCATTGCTTACATCTGCAGGGAGATTCTCAGGGTGAGCTCGGAGCCCCTTCCCAGCCCTTCCCCCATGCCACTGCCACTACTCTGATGCACACACACACACACACACCACAACTCTGCCTGTACTCGGGCTGTGGGTGGGTATGGTCTGTCCTTCAGCATCACGCTGAATGTACTAAGAGCTAGCCTCCTCTCCGTCCCACCCACTCCAACACTACATTGGTTTTTTCCACCCTTTTGTCCCAGGGTCTTGCCCATCTCCATGCCCACAAGGTGATCCACCGAGATATCAAGGGACAGAACGTGCTGCTGACAGAGAACGCTGAAGTCAAGCTAGGTACTGTGGGTCCTTCTGAGGCCCTGTCACTGTCAAGACAGAGAACAAGGTCCCTTTCCTCAGATGTTTGGCTTAGGTCCAACTGCATGTGTGCTGAAGAGGCTTATTCCCCGTCCCCGTCCCCCACCCTGAGAATCTTGCCTCCTTTTCGCTTGCTACCCCACAGAGGGCAGCTGCTCACTATCCTTCTGTGGGAGATAGGGCATTGAGTTCTCTCCTCCCTGGGATGCTGTCCTTTGAGCCCCAAGATCCAGGAAAACTGGGTGAGGTTCTTCAAGACCTTGAAGAGTGGGAGAGGCTGTGTACTTTCTTAATGGTGTGTGGGTCTGGACCTCCTGTTTGAGGCCAGGGGTATGAGTGCATGTAGTGGAGTGAAGCAGAATGCTGGGATGTTTTCTGCTCACCCCTCCCCATGCCCTCCCCTCCCCATGCCCACCCCTCCCCATGCCCTCCCCTCCCCATGCTCACCCCTCCTCCTGCTTACAGTGGATTTTGGGGTGAGTGCTCAGCTGGACCGCACTGTGGGCAGGCGGAACACTTTCATTGGGACCCCATACTGGATGGCTCCAGAAGTCATTGCCTGTGATGAGAACCCTGATGCCACCTATGACTACAGGGTATGCCGTGGGGAGCAGGAGCACTGGGGCTCCCAGGGTAGGAAGGAGGTGGGGAGGACAGATAGATTAAAGGTTTTGGGCCATAAACCCATTGAGGAAAGTGACATGAGCAGTGAAGAAAGACTATGGATGTAGCCAGACCTGAGTAGCTAAAAACCTCCCAGGACTTCCCATCAATACCCGTTACAGATGAGCTAAGCTAAAACCTAGTGTTTTACAGCAGGACAGGTTTCTGTTGGAAGGTGAGTGATTTGTAGGAAAGGGATTTGGGGAAGGGGAAGGTTTGTATGGGATGCTAGGTGAGGGGAGTTACTATGTAATACTGTCTGGAAAATGTGTGGAATCCTGGGTGAAGGAAGTTACTGTGCAGTATTCTCAGGAACATTCATACCTGTCCCTTCTTTCCCTTCTGTTAGAGTGACATTTGGTCTCTAGGAATCACAGCCATTGAAATGGCAGAGGGAGCCCCCCGTAAGTGCTGACTCTGCCTCGGGGTAGGATGGGACAGGGAGGGCAAGGGAGTGGATGTAGGGAGGAGGTGGGCTTCAGAGAACATGTTAAGGCAGGGAGTCTTTGGTCCCTAAATATGCCAAAAAGGATTGATGGTGTCTCTTCTGTGTCTCAGCTCTGTGTGACATGCACCCTATGCGGGCTCTCTTCCTCATCCCTCGGAACCCTCCCCCCAGGCTCAAGTCAAAGAAATGGTATGTCTTTGAGTGTTTTCAATCTGGCAAGGAAGGTTTCTAGGCAGGGCTGCCCTCACCTTAATACTTCCTGTGTCCAGGCTTTGGTGTACACCGTGGAAGAGGTGTGGGGACTGCAGATAGCATCTGGGACTGGGATTTAGAGAAGTCAGAAGAGAAAAGACAGTTTAGAGATGAATGGTCCACCATCTTCTTCCTGTGACTTCCCCTTCCAAAGGGGCCCTCCCAGTGTGAGCCACCACTGTTTCTAGGTCTAAGAAGTTCACTGACTTCATTGACACGTGTCTCATCAAGACTTACCTGAGCCGCCCACCAACCGAACAGTTACTCAAATTTCCCTTCATCCGAGACCAGCCCACGGAGCGGCAGGTCCGCATCCAACTCAAGGACCACATTGACCGATCCAGGAAGAAGCGGGGTGAGAAAGGTCAGTGGATAGATGGGGAGCAGAGGGTTTGGGGGATGCCTCTGCCAGTCCCCTCTCTAGCCATGAGGTCTTTGGGCTTGCCTTTGCGTCCTCCCTTACCCCAGTCTCCCTGCCCAAGGAACTCTTTCCCAAACTTGCAACTCCAGGGACGGGCCATGCACATAGATATTCCCAGCTGAGGTCTCCCTACCCAGGGTGGAGGCTGAGACCTCGAGTGGAAAAGTATCCGTGGTCTCCTTTGCAGAGGAGACAGAGTATGAGTACAGCGGAAGTGAGGAGGAAGATGACAGCCATGGAGAGGAAGGCGAGCCAAGGTGGGTTTGGCAAGGAGAGCTGGGAGGGTGGGGCTCTATTATCTGGAGGAACAACAGTGATCCTTGGCTTCCGGGACTCTCAGGTAATGGCACATATGAGAGAAGAGTGTATAAACTGCGTCTCAAAGCTGGTGAGTTGGCTCAACAGGCAAAGGCACCTGCCCAAGCTCGGTGTGGCCCGAGTTTAGTTCCCAGGACCTACATGTTGAAAAGAGAGAATTCTTCCAAGTTGTCCTCTGACCCCACCAGCATGCTGTGGTGCACTCAGACACACACACATGCACCACTCACACCAGCATGCTGTGGTGCACTCAGACACACATGCACCACTCACACCAGCATGCTGTGGTGCACTCAGACACGCACACATGCACCACTCACACCAGCATGCTGTGGTGCACTCAGACATGCACATGCACACGCACTGGTTCACACACAGTAAATAATGTAACTGAAGAAACAAAACAAAATGACACAGAGTCCCTCCAGGACAGAGTGAAACAGATGAATCGTGACAAGGCGAGTGTCTTAGAGCTGACAGAGGTTTGAGCTGGAATCTTTAAAACAGCACCAGACCCTGGGCAGATGCCAGGGGTGATGATGCTTCCCTAATCTTTGCACTTAGGGGCGTGAAACAGGAGGAGAGCAAGTTTCAGACCAATCTGGGCTACATAATTCAGGCCCTGTCTCAAAACAGGGAATAGGGACAAAACAGAAGACAGATTTCCTGCCCCATTTGGGATTAGGCATTGGGAGGATGGCTGGTGTAGTTGGAAGCGTCCACTCAGCAGGCTGCCCAGAGATGAGGAAGGACCACCAGCTCTGACCTCAGTATGCGTTTGTGCCACTCATCCAGCTCCATCATGAATGTGCCTGGGGAGTCCACACTGCGCCGAGAATTCCTCAGACTCCAGCAGGAGAATAAGAGCAACTCTGAGGCCCTAAAGCAGCAGCAGCAGCTGCAGCAGCAGCAGCAGCGGGACCCTGAGGCACACATCAAACACCTGCTGCACCAGCGGCAGCGTCGCATAGAGGAGCAGAAAGAGGAGCGGCGACGCGTGGAGGAGGTGGGTACTCATCCTGTGTGTTAACGACACTGGCTGTGGACCAGGGCAGGAGGAAACACAGTGTGAGACAGGCCCTGCCTAGCTCTTCCCAGACCCCACTGCTAGTAGAGACTGTCAGTCTCCACCTCCTGGCCCCACGTGGATAGTTGTGCCATCAGCATCCTGTCCGAGTAGAGCCATTCTGAAAAGCAGCAGTTGTCGGGATAAAGCTATTTTTCCTTACGCTTCCACTCTGGGCTTCTCCAGCTCTAGAGGCCCGTCTGTCCTGGCCACCTGCAGGTCTGTGCCTGTGTATGTTTGTGCAGCTGATCTGCTCCGAACAGAAAGACTGTACTGCTGATTATTTTGATTTTGATTTATTTTCTTATAAAGTATAGTTTTCCTATTTTGGACTAATTAAAGGTTGGTAGAGGGGATTCATTTTAATTAAGAAGAATCCTGTGTTTAAGTACAGTTTTCCATTTGTTGTATTACTTATTAAAATAATACAGTGAGCTTTCTCCTGTACGCTTAGCGTTTGGGAGGTAGAGGCAGGAAGATGAAAAATTCTAGACCAGCCTAGTCTCAAGACCAAAAAACAAAACTGCATAACAACCAAAAAGCTGGGAGTATAGGTCAGTTGATTGAGGGCTTGCTGACATGCTTAAACCCCTAAATTCAATGTACCATATAAAACTGGATGCACTAGTACATACTTGTAATCTCGGCACTCTGAAAGAGGAGGCAAGAAATAAGAAGTTCTAGGTCACTCTCAGCTACATAGCAAGTTTGTGCTCAGTCTGATAAGTTTAAGCTTTGTCTCAAAAAAAAAAAAAAAAAAAAAAGGTTGGGGTTAGGAATACAGCTCAGTGGTAGAACCTGTCATACATGAGGATCTTGGGTTTGGTCTCTGGTAACACATACAAAAAAGAAGAAGTTTTGTGTGTGTTTGAGTGTACTTACTGTTGGTGCATAGTGGAGAATGAGAAATCCGGACCTTTTTTTTTCCTCAAAATTTATAACTAAACAATAAAAACATTGTCGTGGAGGCAGTAGTTCCAGCATCTACACTATCTTCTCAGAGCAAGTTCTGTTCTTACTGAGGAAGAAGAAATTTGCAAGAAAGATTGACTTTGGAACACTTTCTGCTGTTCTAATAGAAGTGGGTGAGATTTGACAGAGGCCTGGCCAGCAACCTCTCGGCAGGAAGAGTTCTGTGTGTAAGGGTCCAGAAGCTTGGTCTTGGCCATTTTGTTGTTGCTGTTGTTTGCAAGGTTGCTTTTTGTGCATGTGCACTTGGTGCCCCCTGTTGGCCAAAGGTTGACATTACCATCCATCTCTTAGTGTTTAAGGCACAAAGGCTTGGGGTGCAAGGATCAGAACATGCTAGCGTGTTTGGTGGCTGTCTTAGGCTTTCAGCTGCTGCAATAATGCACCATGACCAAAAGCAACTTGGAGGAACGTGGCCCACAGGCTTGTTCCTCACGGCTTGCTTGGCCTGTCTTCCTTATAGCACCCAGGACCACCAGTCAAGGGTGGGACATCCTGTACTGGGCTGGCCCCTCCCATGTCAGTCATCAGTCAAGAAAATGCACCACTAATCTCATGGAGACATTCTCAATTAAAGTTCCTTCTTCTAAAAATCACTCTGGCTTGTGTCAAGTTAATATAAAACTAGCAAGTGCAGTGGGAACAGATAAATGTCATATTGTTCAGCCCACTCAGAGGGCAGCAGTTTCCGTCTAGCCCCATGTGCACGGCTACCTCAAACTTCTCAAACTGAGCCCCTGGGGCCCAGATGCACAGCTCTTGTACAGGGCTAGGGATGTGTGCTTGGAAACGTTGAAGCCTTCCTCTCCACCGTCTCTAACACTCTTGCCCTACTCTTTGTGGAGGGGCAGTCCTTCCAAGGCTAGGCTGTACTAGCATCTGTTCTGATCCCATCCGTAAGACATACTGCCCACTTGGTCTACAGCAACAGCGGCGAGAGCGAGAACAGCGTAAGCTACAGGAGAAGGAGCAGCAGCGGCGATTGGAGGACATGCAAGCCCTGCGGCGAGAGGAAGAGAGGCGGCAAGCAGAGCGGGAACAGGTATTGGCACCAGTGCACACACACACCCGCCTCCACTCCTGCCCTGCCCTGCCCTGCCCTGCTCCTGCTGCCTGCCGTCCTGCTCCCGGTGCCCTGTCCCTTTCGCTCCCCTGCCCCTAGATTCCTCCTATCTTTTCTAGCTTCACTCTTTCTCTGTTTTCTCCTACCCTTCAACCCCACCCTGCTCCCTGCCCTCCTGTTTCTGTGCCTTCATTCCCCATCTCTGCCCATCCCTGTCTCCTCCCTGGGCGCTATCCTTCATGTTCCCACCTGATTCCTCCTCATCCCGTGTCCTCTTACTCCCATCTGTGCCACATTGCCCCCCCGGGGCTCATCTACCTGTCGCCCCCTCATCCTCACCCTGCTGATCCCTTCCTTCGCGGCTGCCGCCACCCTCCCGCCCCGCCCCCGCCTGCCCCGCCCCCCAGGAGTATATCCGTCACAGGCTAGAGGAGGAGCAGAGACAGCTCGAGATCCTCCAGCAACAGCTGCTCCAGGAACAGGCCCTGCTGCTGGTAACGGGGTCCCTCAGTGTCCTCGGGAAAATGCCATCCTGAGGTGCTTTCCTACACTGGGATGGGAAGACATCAGGGAACGGGGCTTTCCAAGGCCCGGGAAGCAGCTCCTGTCTGGGCAGCAGAGGAAAGGAAAGGCCTGCCTGCTCTAACTTACACAGGCCACACTCTGCTGAGTCTTCTCTCCCTACCGTTGGACCCAGGAATACAAGCGGAAGCAGCTGGAGGAGCAGCGGCAGTCGGAGCGGCTCCAGAGACAGCTGCAGCAGGAGCATGCCTACCTCAAGTCCCTGCAGCAGCAGCAGCAGCAGCAGCAGCAGCTCCAAAAGCAGCAGCAGCAGCAGATCCTGCCTGGAGACAGGAAGCCCCTGTATCATTATGGTCGGGGCATTAATCCTGCTGACAAGCCAGCATGGGCCCGAGAGGTATGCCACCTCCTCTGTCCCCTGAGACCCCATCCTACCAGGCTTGCTGCCCATGGCTAGAAAGTTGGGAGAAGTGGTTGCTCCACAGTAACGGGCACTGAGGAGGGGAAGGCGCGGAGGTTGTGGAGCTGGAGTGTGTGGAGGAAGTGAGGCTCTAAGTGTTGGCCTGCTGACCCCCACTCGCTGGCCTACCTGCTGACGGCCCTGCTTGCTGGTCTGCTGACGGCCCACTCAAATCACATGTAGGTGGAAGAGAGAGCACGGATGAACAAGCAGCAGAACTCTCCCTTGGCCAAGACGAAGCCAAGCACTGCAGGGCCAGAGCCCCCCATCTCCCAGACCTCTCCTAGCCCCCCAGGACCTCTTTCCCAAACTCCTCCTATGCAGAGGCCTGTGGAGCCACAGGAAGGACCACACAAAGTGAGTCTGTCCCCATTCCTGTCCTAACAGAGACATGGGTGGCTTTGCTTGCTACAGCCATGAGTACGTGCTTGCATTCACTGGTGTCTTCTGCATGTATTGGGCATATTCCCTGCGTAGTTTACTTCTCCAGTTTTAGAATCCCCTTATCTGCCACAAAGCAGGCTGTCCACCCTGTCTGGTCTTTCCCCACAGAGCCTGGTGGCACACCGGGTCCCGTTGAAGCCATATGCAGCACCTGTACCCCGATCCCAGTCCCTGCAGGACCAGCCCACACGAAACCTGGCTGCCTTCCCAGCTTCTCATGACCCTGACCCTGCTGCTGTCCCCACACCCACTGCCACACCCAGTGCCCGAGGAACAGTCATCCGCCAGAATTCAGACCCCACTTCTGAAGGGCCTGGGCCTAGCCCAAACCCTCCATCCTGGGTCCGGCCTGATAATGAGGCTCCACCCAAGGTAAGTATAACCCTAAAAACCAAGAATATAAGAGTTCAGGATGGGTGGAAGAAAGCAATGCAAGCACAGAGACACTGCCTATAAGGGTTAGTTAGCCTCCAGAGGGTAGAAAGACGGAAGTGACTGTAGGGATGTGAAATGGCTAGGAATCTGAGGGCTACCAAAGTGGCCGTTTTTCAGTTTCATAGCCTGGACATACTCAGTAGCTTCTCTGAACCTGTTTGTTTCCCCATGAATGCTGAAGACTGCATTTCTCAGATTGACAGTGGAATCAAGTGTGTGCCATGTCTGTACAAGACTGACAGAGCTTGTCAACTGTTCTTTCCAGGTTCCTCAGAGGACCTCATCTATTGCCACTGCCCTTAACACCAGTGGGGCCGGAGGGTCCCGGCCAGCTCAGGCTGTCCGTGCCAGGTACACAACACCAGGGTGGGGTCCTGTGGCAGTGTAGGAAGTAAGAGATATAGGGACTTTGCCAAGTTATCTTCATAGGGGTGGGGCAAGCCCCAAACCAGGCACCTCATCCCTTCCCTGTGCCACCACAACCCGCCCCGGCACCCTGTGCTCCCTCCACAGACCTCGCAGTAACTCCGCCTGGCAAATCTATCTGCAGAGGCGGGCAGAGCGGGGCACCCCCAAGCCTCCCGGGCCCCCAGCTCAATCCCCTGGCCCGCCCAACACCTCTAGGTAATGGAGTTGCCACCCACTTCCTCTCACCTCTCACTTCTGCCACCTGCTTCCCTGGTGATGGCTCCTCCTGCAGCGTAGCTTGACACTCAAGGATTGGAGCGCATCTCTGATGTGAACTCTGTCCCTTCACAGTAACCCTGACCTCAGGAGGAGTGACCCTGGCTGGGAGCGCTCAGACAGTGTCCTCCCGGCCTCCCACGGCCACCTCCCTCAGGCCGGCTCCTTGGAGCGGAACCGAAACCGTGTGGGAGGTATGTCAACCAGGCCTAAGCCTTCTCTGGGTCTTGGCTTTGTCTTGACCAACAACAAAAGCAGAGTCCATTGCCTTTAGTGGCTTAGGATCAGAGCACCACAAGAACAAGAGGGATGTGGGTGGGTTTGGGGCCAGTGGTCAGCCCAGGGCATGGGCATGGGGCCATATTGTAGCTATCTGTGACTTACTTTCTCCCACCCTGCCATGCTCAGCCTCCACAAAACTGGACAGCTCCCCAGTGCTCTCCCCTGGGAACAAAGCCAAGCCTGAAGACCACCGCTCAAGGCCAGGCCGGCCCGCAGTAAGTGATCTGGGATAGGGTGTGGAGCCTTCACTAATGTGAGAGACAAGGGGAGCTGCAGACTTACACAGCATGGCTCCTGTTACTAACCTTTCTCACCATCTCTCCTGCTTCCTCCTGGCCGCCTTTCTTCCTCTGTGACCCCTCCCAGAGCTATAAGCGAGCGATCGGTGAGGTTAGTGAGGGGCCGCTGGGAAGCTGTCCTTTGTTCCCTGCCTGCACCTCCACTAGCAGGCACCCTTCCTTGGTGTTGTTTCTGCCCAAGCCCTACTGCCTCCCTTCATCTCTTTTTCCTGCAGGATTTTGTGTTGCTCAAAGAGCGGACTCTGGATGAGGCCCCTAAGCCTCCCAAGAAGGCCATGGACTATTCCTCATCCAGTGAGGAGGTGGAGAGCAGTGAAGATGAGGAGGAAGAAGGCGATGGGGAGCCATCAGAGGGGAGCAGAGACACTCCTGGGGGCCGGTATGGGGTATCCTAGGGCAGGGCCTCCCTCATCAGGACAGGCAGAGGAGAAATTCAGGGAAGGAGGGAGCAGGGTTGTGCGAGGTTGGAGGCAACAAAGTAGAGTTGGTAGCTCCCCCTCTTCCATTGCTCGGTCACTATGAGACCCTGTCAGATGCCCCTCTGTCTCTTTATCAACCTGGCTGAGGGCCACTCATAAAAGACCTGAATCAGTGAGGGCTTTTGAGGAGGCTGAAAGTCAAGTCTCTGGCTGTCACCTGCCTCCTGTAGCATTGTATGGCAGGCAGGATCTGGAAGGCCCCACCGTCATCTTTCCCACAGCAGTGATGGCGATACAGACAGTGTCAGCACCATGGTGGTTCATGATGTTGAGGAGATATCCGGGACCCAGTCCTCATATGGGGGAGGCACCATGGTGGTCCAGCGTGTGAGTGGTCTCCTCTCCTTACCCTTCTTGCCTTTTCCTGCAGCATGCCCTCTGCAGCCCTACCCTGACTTAATCTCTGCTCTTTAGACTCCTGAAGAGGAACGAAGCCTGATGCTTGCTGATAGCAATGGCTACACAAACCTGCCGGATGTGGTTCAGCCTAGCCACTCACCTACTGAGAACAGCAAAGGTCAAAGCCCTCCAACAAAGGATGGAGGCGGTGATGTAAGTATGCTGGAGTGGGTGGGTCAGTGACGAAAGGATGAGCCCTGGGGTACACAGAAGAGTGGGGTGCTAAGAACACGGTGATAGGTGAAGCAAGGTACTGTGACCCTAATGAGAACCTGAGGTCTGTCCCATTAGAAAAACAAGGGCCACAGGCCAGAGCCACACATGTATCTTGACTGTTCCCTCTCCCCCCACAGTACCAGTCTCGTGGGCTGGTAAAGGCTCCAGGAAAGAGCTCATTCACCATGTTTGTGGATCTAGGGATCTACCAGCCTGGAGGCAGTGGGGATACCATCCCTATCACAGGTGAGGACAGGAGGAGCTATCTGCCTTGAGGCTGGAGTCCAGAGCTAGCCTAGGCAGAAGCTCTTTGAGAATGGGGCTTTACAAAGTTAGGCATGGGGCTGGAGAGATGGCTCAGTGGATAAAAGGTTCTGCTCTTCCAGAGAGCCCAAGTTTGATTCATAACAGTCACATAAGACAGCTCACAACCTCCTATAACTCCAGGTCCAGGGGATCTGATGCTGTTTCTGGCCTCCATGGGTACCAGCACACAAAGACAAGAAAACAAAAATAAAATTCAAAAAATCTTTTAAAAAGTCCAACCATGGACCTCTTTCTTATTTGAGGCTTACCCCCTGCCCTGGCACAGATTGCAAGGGAGGGCTACACAGGAGAGGGGGATGTTGCTCAGAGGGGCTGAGGGAGCCAGGCAGAGGCGGAACTGCTGAGTACTGGAAGCAGGCCAACGCTGAGCCAGGCCTTGGCCTCCAGCTCAGGCACTCTTACCTCAGTGCACCTCTGTTCTAGAGTCTCCCCTTCAGAGGCTACTGATGAGCCAAGATCAGATGGAGGGCATAGGAATAAAAGTAATCACAGAGGGGCTGCCCCCCACCCTCCTTCCCTCTTCTTTGGCAGCCCTAGTGGGTGGAGAAGGTGGTCGCCTTGATCAGCTGCAGTTCGATGTGAGGAAGGGCTCTGTGGTCAACGTCAATCCCACCAATACCCGAGCTCATAGTGAAACTCCTGAGATTCGCAAGTACAAGAAGCGATTCAATTCAGAGATCCTCTGTGCAGCCCTCTGGGGTAAGCCAGGGCTGAAAAAGGTGAAAGTGGTCTGGGCACAGCCTCCATGCTCCTGGTCAGGGGAGAGCCTGGATCTGCCTCTGACCTGTCCAAGGATTCCTGTTGCAGGGGTCAACCTCCTAGTGGGCACAGAGAATGGGCTGATGTTGCTGGACCGAAGTGGGCAGGGCAAAGTGTATGGACTTATTGGGCGACGCCGCTTCCAGCAAATGGATGTCCTGGAAGGGCTCAACTTGCTCATCACCATCTCAGGTGTGTGTATGGAGTTGGGGACAAGGGGCTTGGCTTAACTTTTGCTTGCTTCTCTTCATCCTGAGAGGACAGTAGTGGTCAGACAGTATTGTGGGAAGCAGCAACAGGGCCTTTGATAAGAATGAGAGTGAGTGTGTGTGTGTGTGTGTGTGTGTGTATGTCCATGTATGGTTGTCTGACCATCTCACAGGGAAAAGGAACAAACTGCGGGTGTATTACCTGTCCTGGCTTCGGAACAAGATTCTACACAATGACCCAGAGGTGGAAAAGAAGCAGGGGTGGACCACCGTGGGGGACATGGAGGGCTGTGGACACTATCGTGTTGGTGAGCATGCCACAGCACAGTAGCCAAGGAACAGGGTCTGGGCTAACTTCTAAGAGATCTTCGAGGCTGATAGTGGAAGTCACTGTGTCTCCCCCTCTTTCCTGCCCTCCAGTGAAATACGAGCGAATTAAGTTCCTGGTCATTGCCCTGAAGAACTCTGTGGAGGTGTATGCCTGGGCCCCCAAACCCTACCACAAATTCATGGCCTTCAAGGTAATCCCAGCCTCAGCCACCAGTATATTCCAAGGTTTTGCTCCTCCACCTGTCTTCCCTGAGCCTTCTCTCTCCACAGTCCTTTGCTGACCTCCCTCACCGCCCTCTGCTGGTGGACCTGACCGTAGAGGAGGGACAGCGGCTTAAGGTCATCTACGGCTCCAGCGCTGGCTTCCATGCTGTGGATGTTGACTCTGGGAACAGCTATGACATCTACATCCCTGTACATGTGAGCTTAGCAGGACTATGGGTCAAGGGAGACCAACCCATCTGGACATCAGACATGAGGACCCCACCCAGTCCACCTTCTTCTCCCTAGATCCAGAGCCAGATCACACCCCATGCCATCATCTTCCTCCCTAACACTGATGGCATGGAGATGCTGCTGTGCTATGAAGACGAGGGTGTCTATGTCAACACTTACGGGCGGATCATCAAGGACGTGGTGCTGCAGTGGGGAGAGATGCCCACCTCTGTGGGTAAGTGAAGGGCCATCCCAAGCTGCTTGTTCTCAGGTGACTAGGACTAAAACCTCCTTACAGCCCTTCCACCATCTTCTGCCTTCAGCCTACATCTGCTCCAACCAGATAATGGGCTGGGGTGAGAAGGCCATAGAGATCCGCTCTGTGGAGACAGGCCACCTAGATGGGGTCTTCATGCACAAACGAGCCCAGAGGCTCAAGTTCCTGTGTGAGCGGAATGATAAGGTGAGCCAGGGTATCTCTGAAAGGAGCCTAGCCCAGGTGATGGGCTGTCTCTCTGCCTTGCTCTGGTCCACCTTGCTCTGGGCAGGGGTCTGGGGTTATGGAATGGTCCTGCTGTTTTGAGCTATCAGAGCCACACCCTCCTTCCCCATGGGCTCTGTTGCCTTTACCCCAAGGACCTGGTAACACTTTTTTGCCTTTCCTTGGGGATGGAAACAGGTGTCATTCACTTCCTCTTTCTCTCTCCCAGTGTCAACCTCTTCTCTCCTCCCTGCACCCCCTGACACACACATACACTTTAGCCCTTGGTGATGTCTTTTCTACTTTATTCAGGTGTTTTTTGCCTCAGTCCGCTCTGGAGGAAGCAGCCAAGTTTACTTTATGACTCTGAACCGTAACTGCATTATGAACTGGTGACAAGGCCCCTGGGCTGGGGCTCCCCACATGGACCCAGCTCTCTTCCCACAGCCAGACTACCCAGGCCGCCCCTGCCCTTCCCCCCCCACCCCTTGGGCTTTTGCTTTTACTGGTTTGATTCACTGGAGCCTGCTGGGAACGTGACCTCATATCCCTGAAGCTTTTGTGATCACGTGACCATCCTTTCACCCAACATTCTCAAAACTGTGCCTTTCCCCAACTTCTGGGGAATGACACAGCTTCCTCCCCCTTACCAAGAATTAAGTGGGACTTGCTCCTCCCCTTTTCTCCACAGAAGAGGAGAGTGCTTGGGGCTTGGACCCCTTACCCCATTGCTGCTGAGCAGGGCCCTGACCCCTTTATTTGCACGCCAGGGGAGCCGGCTCCCCCCTTGAATGTACCAGACTCTGGGGGGGGGCTGGTATTCACTGGGCCCTGGGTTCTGGGGGAGGGGGGCGGTCACCAGCCACTCCAGGGACAGGGACCATTTCCTCATTTTCTGAAAGCACTTTAATGATTGCCCCTCCCCAGCCCCCAGGGAATGGAGGAGGGACCCCATAGCCAAAACATTCCCCCCTTTCCTCCCCACTCCCACCCCTTCCAGCCCCTTCCCTTCCCTAGAGGGAGCGAGCTCAGAGCTCCCACCCTCCATCCTCCCTTGCTTGCATCTGTATATAGTGTGAGCAGTAAGTAGCCCTTCTCCCTCCTGTATCCTTTCTCAATGTAGTGGCCTTGGATATCCCCTTTGTTAATAAAGACAATTCAACCAGCTTCCACCATTTTGAGATCCTACCATTGTTCTCTCTCAATCCTGGATGCTTTCTAGGGAGAGCTTTGAACGTTGGGAATGCAGAGAGTCTATGACGTTAAGTGTGATAGAGATGCAGTGAGACGGATGGCGGAGCCAGCAATCCATGTCATTCTCAGTCCTAACCCTGGAGGACCCTTTGAGAATAGTTAGTTTTTACCAGCCCCAGCAGGACCAGGCCAGACTTGTAGCTTCAGTGTTTCTATGTCGAGGTCTTGTAAAACCTCATTGGCTATCAACTAGATAAACATTCTTTAGATTAGAAGGAGCCAAGAGCAAAACGGAACCAATTGGCTTCAAGTGCCTGTCAAAACCACCTACCCATCTTCTGTTGCTATTCCTGAGGAGTCAACCCACCCACATGACCACACAACCCCTCCTGCAAGTTCACAAACCACATTTATTTGCAGCGTGTTGTCAAAATCTCCTCCGTGGGGGGTGGGGGCGTGGTGGGTGCTGCTGTTGGTTTCGGCTCAGGTTGGATGCACGGTGGGTAGGGGAGATCAGGAACTTGGTTGAAGTAACCTCCAAGGAAGATGAGAGTAGAACCGACGCTGAAGAGCACCAAAGCTGCCCAAAAACAGACGTTGTCGAGGGCTTTCCCCATACGCACCCAGTTGGATAGTTCCTGTGAGAGAGCAAGCTTAGCGAGGGAGAGGCCTGGAGGGCGGGGCATCTAGCACCGCTCCGCCCCAACCTCCCAACCCACCTCTCCAGTGGCTTCCTGGTCCCTTGTGCTCTCAGCCACAAAGTTCACAGCATCCACACAGCAGCGGATCTCAGGGGCTGCAGCACCCAGGTTCTGGCAGAGGGCTGCTGCTAAGGCGATACCAAGCGTTGGGTCATTAAAAAGCATCCCCAACGGCGAGTATATGCCTTTGACCCACCAAGAGCAGTGCTCACCAGTCCAAGTTCCATGCCGATGCCTCTGCCCCTCAAACACGATTTCGCTCCTCGGTTTTTTCAAGATGAGCTCTTCCGCTCTGAGCAGAATGCCCACAGACGAGGCACGCCTCGCTGGTGAGGCAGTTCGGGGATCTTCTGGGGGTGGGCTCGAGCCCAGGAGACGCGGCAGTAGCTCTAATAAAATCTGCAGCCGGGGCAGAGAAAGGTTCCAAGCCCGCTTCCCACCCCTGGGCAGTACTTTCTTCAACCAGCACTTACCTGGCGCAGCCGAGGAGATGTGGCATGAGTTGTTGGCGTCCGCAAAGATACGTTGAGCACGATGACGCAATTCATGACAATGAGCGTGGCAACCACCATGACGAAAATAAGATACCTGATACACAGGAAGCATGAGGTCACTGCATTCCCACAAACAGAAGGCACTGGCTGTCCTCTACCTCACAAATACCACCTCCTCACAACTGGTGGTTACTTCTTGCTACTCCTTGATGATGCCAGTATTGTCCCGGCCCTTCTGCAATATACCATCTGCTGTGGCCATGAAGGGGATTCCCAACAGTTTGGACACCCTGCTGTGGGTCTACCACTTCCACAGCTCCACCGAGGTGAGAGTATTAGAATGGCCCACCCAAAGGCAGAATCTGGAGAGGTCTCCAGTGCTTCCTGCTATGACCCTTTCCATGTGACCACTCCACTACCCCTGCTCCTCCAGGTGGCCTTACAGCCTCCACTTCTATCTTCCCTGGATCTTGCTGTGGCCGCAGCTCACGAATATCTGGCGCAAAGGTTCAGAGAGCTTAAGTCCCAGGATCCGCTGGAGTCGGACAAGCCGCTCACCCAGAAAGCCACCTTAGGACTGGTGCTAAGAGAAGCCGCAGCCAGCGTTATGAGCTTTGGAGCCACCTTGTTGGAGGTGCAGCTCTGGGAAGTTGAGGGATGGGAAGAAAGGGGGAAGAGGGCTAAGCCAGCAAAAGCAGGGACCTCTAGCCCATGTGCCCCAATGCAGATCTCGGCCCTGTGGCTGCAGCAGGAGGTGCAGCGACTGGACAGTGGCAACAGCTACCCAGGCTCAGCCCAGGACACTGGGGATCCTGGTAGAGCGCTGGCCCGTGTAGCCCTGGCCGCAGGGCAGGGGATTCGGCAAGCTGGAGCAGCAGCTGGTGCAAGTGCTCAGTACCTGATCCAGGGGGCGTGGTTGTACCTGTGTGGACGAGGTTTGCAATGGTCTACCTCATCCCTGAAACAAACCCTACACCAACTGGGCCTTGGGGTCCCTGGGGATCCGGTGCGTTTGGGACAAAGGGTGTGACACGGGTCTGAGGAGGTATGATTAAGGAGATACTGAGCAATACTGTCCTCTTAACAGAGATACTCGGGAATCCTCAAGGTGTCGTCCAGCAGCAGTGAGGAGAATGGGGGAACAGATAATCCATCACTGTCCCAGTCCAACCCTGTGTCCAAATAAAAGTCCACGACGGGAAAACACCAAGTCCCTGTGCAAGCCACCTTTGGCTCCATCCTCCATGCAGGCCCCCATCTCTGTGGGACCCACTGTGAGATTACCTGCCTAGCAGCGGCATGCTCAGAGACGTCTCTGGAATTTTCTGGGCAATTAGAAACAAGAAGACAGTCTGGGCTAGCAGGACGTTGATAGAGACTGTGCATTTCTGGCCACCAGCTAGAGGAAGCAACCTGTAAGAGGCGAGCCAGGGCAAGCCCAGCCTGGAGTTGAGGAATCAGGGTCACCCCTTACCCTGTGCAGGCAGGAAGTAAGCTAGCAGCACCAAGCCAGAAATGAGCACACAAGGCACAATGATGTTAATGACATAAAAAAGCGGCTTCCGGCGGATGATGAGTGTGTAGATGATGTCAGTTTCTCTGGGGCCTTCTGTGGCGCCTCCCTCATAGTGGCGAATCATGCCTGGGCAGTAGTCGATGGCCCATTCTCCATTCTCTGCAAGACACAGGGCTCAGTCAGCCTGCACACCTGCAACTCCAGACTAAGAGGGCCACTTGAGACCTGGGCTGTCAGCATGGGGACAGAATGGGTAGAGAGGGGGCATTTCTGGTGGGGGGTGTCGAAACAGCACATTTGAGTATGACAATCCAGACTGACTTCAAGAAGCTCAGCTTCGGGTAGTGTGGCTCAAGTCAAGCCCTACACTGAAACTCCCCCACCCTCACCCCCTTGAACCCTATCTAGGAGAAGATTTTTGGAAAAAGGTATATCCCTTCACCGGTAAAAGCCGCAGTGTCAATCTCAATTTTGTTGATGGCGTTGTTATTGTCATCCAATGCAAAGATGAACTCCACCTCGTCAGCATTGTAGGTCTGGGAGCTGTGAAACAGAGCCAGTCTTTACCCCAGAAGCTGGGAGCCATCTTAGTCCCACCCTGGAAGCTGGCGTCTGGCAGGGTAGTGTGGCTTTCTTCTTTTGCCCACATTCCCAGCATGTTTCCAGTCCTGCCGCCTTTTTGTTTTGTTTTGGGTTGCTGATGGGCTCACCATGTTGTCCAAGGGACTCCTGGACTCAAGTTATTTTTATTCCTCAGACTCTCCTGAGGAGTAGTTGGGACTACAGGCTAAAACTACAAGATGGCAGCAAGAAGCCTGTACCCAACCTACTGCAAACCTAGATCCAGCTTCCCACCCCTTCATTCCAGCACCTCACTCCACCTCCTTCACAAAGTCCTCCAAAGACCCTGCCGACTCCTCCATAGCAGGCCCTGTCCCCTGCTCTAGGCCCTTCTCAATATCATGCTTGAAGTGATTCATCCTACCGAAAAATGAGAGAGCAGTTCTGCCAGTCGAAGGGGAAATAGGTAACCTCCACTGCACAGGTGCTCCGGTAGATGGCTGGGGGCAGCCAGTACACACTGCCTCCCTCAGAGACAAGAACATTGCAGTCGTGCGCCACTCCAAACTGCCCATCAATACTGTGGAAACCAAGCTTTTCACATGTCTGAACCTCCTTCACCAACCAAATCCCCCAAAACCAGTTCCCTTGCAGCCTGCCCTCTGGGTAATCCTCACTTGTTTTCTAGAACAATGTCTGGCAGCCATACATGGTCTGAAGGAACCCGCAGAACTTTTAAACCTGCAAAATCGTCCCCACGGAAGTTGAGCCGATAGTCATACCATTCCTAAAAGACAGGGATGAGAGGGTATGTACTTTCCATTCCCCACCTGGTAAGAAAGAAAGGGGTTGGCTGGGAACCCTCCCACTGCTCTCCAAGTCTGACTCACAATTCCAATCCAGACATTGGTGGTCAGAGTTTCTTCTTTCTCGTTCTACAACAGAAAGAAGCCTGCTGAAGCCAGGAGTTAGGGGTAGAAGTGAGGGTATAGGATTAGAATTGGGGGGAGGTCTTACCAGTGAGATGAGGTTGGTTAGGGTGACCTTGAGGCTGATGTTGACAGTGTCCTCAGGTCTCCTAACTGGCCGGCATTCTGGGTCATAATTGTCGAAGAGATGGTGATACAGCCTAAGCTCTTCATTCTTACCCTGGCTTCTGCCTATGATTCAAGAAGGAAGAATCACTATATATGAAGCAGCAGCCTGAAGGCTTCTCTCTGCTCCTCAGGCCAGTGCACCCCTCCTGTGTTTATATTTCTAGATTTCTCCTAGACCAACAATATTGAACCTGGGAACCAAGTACTATCTCAGTCTCTACCCTGGTCTTAGTCCTTTCCCTATTCCCTTAATGTTGACATATGGATCCACCCGGCTCCCCTGACCGCTGTCCCTACCAAAGAGTGTCAGGAGAAGTAAGGCCCCAAGCAGAGCCCCTGCCATCCTGATGTCTGGTTCTCAGGTTATTCTGAGCTTTGACAAGCTTGAGGGAACAGACCAAGGTGCCTGTGTGAAGGGGAGGAGGGTGTTAGTTCCGGGCTAGGTTTGGGTACTGTCACCTAATCCTCTGCCCCTGCTGTGGGGGCGGGGGAGGCAGCTGCCCCATCCGGTGTCCCTTGGCCCACCCCATCCCAGCATCCTTTGCCTAGGCTTCAGCCAGCTCTGTAAGCCACAGGCCTATCATCTCAGGAGAGAAGCAGACCTGTAATAACACTTGAAACCACAAGCCATTAGGGCTGTAGACCCCACTCTCAACACTGGTATCTCTTGTACAGCTGTCCTGTATTGGTGATTCTAATGGATGCATCCAAGGGATTGGACATCCAGCACCTCCCATACTACCCCTGGCTTAGATACTTTTCTATTACCATCCTAAGACCCCATATCCAAGGCAATATATGAGAAAACGTTTGAAGATTGTGGTTCCTGAGGGTTAGATTCCAGAATCATCATGGTGAGGAGCATGGCAGCAGGCATGGTGCTGGAGCAGAAGCTTAGAGCTCACACCTTCAGATGACAAGCCTGCAGCAGAGAACTGGGAATAGTCTTTTGAAACCTCAAAGGCCAACCCCAATACCATGCCTCCTCCAATAAGCCCACATTTAATCCTTCCCATACAGTTCCACCAACTAAGGACCAAGCATTCAAACACGAGCCTTGGTCCTTAGTGTATGGGGGGAGGAGGGGGGCAAGGGGCGGGTAGTGTTCTCATTCAAACTACCACAACCCCCATGTGCAATACATGCTATCATACCCATACAGGGGCCAATTCACACTAATACACTTAGACAAAAAGTCTCCATAAAGACCTGGCAATAGCCGGGGGGTGGTAGTACACGCCTTTAATCCCAGCACTTGGGAGGCAGAGGCAGGTGGATTTTTGAGTTCAAGGCCAGCCTGGTCTACAGAGTGAGTTCCAGGACAGCCAGGACTACACAGAGAAACCCTGTCTCGAAAAACCAAAAAAAAAAAAAAAAAAGACCTGGCAATAAGACAGGTTGTCGTGTAGAATTAGTCTGCAGTGACACACTTGACCTGGTAAAGTCTGTGTTCAGTATTGGGCCCAGCACCTTCAACATGACCCCAGGATAAGCCCACCCTGATCTCCTTACCTGCAATCCCTTCCCTTTTCTTGCTACTGCCTTGTGGTGGTCATCAATGGTACTGTCTTTTCAACTGCTGTCCAAAATACACTAGTCTTGAGTGTAGCCCAGTCTGGCCCTCAAGTTTTGAACTTTCTACCTCGGCAACCTGGGTGCTGGAATGACAATCATGAGCCACCAGGCCTGTTTTTTTATTGTTTCATTTGTTTTTAAGGTAGGTTTTGTAGAGCTCAGACTAGCTTTGAACTCCTGATCTTCCAGGCCCTCCAGGAACTAGGACTGCAGGTATGAGCTTGGGTGTATGATGAGGTAATCAGAAGCTGTTGTTTTAAAAGCTAGTTAGGTGTTCCTCACCGGGTAAGAAGTGGAGGAATAAACAGTTTGATTTTGTGTTGTTGGCTTTTAAGGGAGAGGGTTTCTTGAAACAGGGTCTCACCATGTTCTAGTCTAGCCTAGAACTGCATAAGCTAACTTCACAGTCGTCCTGCCTCATCTGCCTAATTGCTGGGATTCCAGACCTGCCACCATGCCCAGCTGGAAGCCCTTTGTGTGTTACACCTTACACATTACCCCAATCCAGGAAAACAATCACTTCTGTCCTGAATGCATGAAAAGAACCTGTAGCAGAGGGTCATTCACACAGTTGTGTTGGTATAACGCAGGAGGCTTGCTAATCTCTGTTACTGATCATGTGCCTCTGCGATCATTTTACATTTCACAGAACAGTTATGTTCATCATTTCCTCATTTCTTTCCCTACCTGTCAAAGTCCCACAGTCCTCTGAGCCTAGCATGGTCATGTGGGCCTTGTTTGTTTGTCACACTCACTTGAAGCCTCTGTTTCTCCTGCTATCTACTAATTTCTCAAGTCCCACTGCAGACCCCAGAAAGGATTTATGGAAGTGAACTTAGCACCGTGCACACCATGCTGAGTGTTGCTTACTCCAGTCTCTGAGTTAGGGCCTGGGCTAAGTGCAGACATTCGTCCAAACATTAGTGGGCACCCAAATACTGTGATTACACAGGTTAATAAGAGTCGCTTCTGCTCTGTGGTGGTGGTGACAGCAAGCACCTTTAATACCAGCACTTGGGAGGTAGAGGCAGGAAGATCTCTGTGAGACTGAGGCCAGCCTAGTCTACAGAATGAAGTCCAGAACAACCAAGGCGCCACAGAAAAACCCTGACTTGAAAAAACCAAAGAGGAACAAAAAGAAAAAGAAAGATTCGCTTGACCCACTAGTGAGCTCACCAAGCCCCACAGGATAGTTCCAAACCCATGGTCACAAGGACAACCTTAGTGAAACTCAAACTAAAAAGGCACAAATGGGGACCAGTGTATATAATACGTATAAGTTGTGGGGTCAGGGTAAAGGTGCTGCCTGCCAAACCTGATGACCTGAGTTTGATACCCCACATGAAGAAAGGAGAGAGTAAACCAACTCCTACAAGTTGTCCTCTGACCTTCACCTTCGTGCACAGACATGCATTCCTGACCAAGTCTCTTCCTGAGCAGGAATGGAGCAGGAAGGGTGACAGGGAAAATCGAGGGTCTCTCCAATTCTTCTAACCAGCTATAGGTGTCAGGAACATGCCTGTGAGCCAGTCTCAGTTTTGTACTTGTATATTGAAAATTCCAGTTTCTCTGGAAGCTAACTTCCAAGCTAGCCACAAAGATCTCAGCTCAACAGGAAGCCACTCCCTTCTCCAACTCCTTTTGGCTGGCTACTGTGAACAGCTGCAGCTACCCCTGCCAGAGCTGAGGGCTGCTGCTTCTGATCACCCAGGACCTTCTCAAGGTACCATCCCCAGCTAGTCACAGGAGAGCTCCCTCTCTCTTTTCTAGCAGGCGAAGTGGGTTAGCAGAGCCAGGCCTCCTGTGTTTCCTGCTGGTCGGCTGTGTCCAAGGTATTTAGTAGAGTCTGACATGATGCAGATACTTATCTTCTGGACAAATAGACTAAATGAACTGCGGCATCTTTTTACTGAGAACTATTCTCTCCAACCACATGTCCAGAGATATGATTGATTATCTGAAGGAGAATGACACCCACATGCTTAAAGATTTGCATATTTAGTCTCCAGTTGGTGACCTATTAGGAAGAAGGTGTGGCCTTGCTGGAGGAGGTGTGGCCATCACTGTGGGCTCTGAGGTTTCAAAAGCCCTTGCCAGGCTCATGTGCTCTCCTCCTCCCTCCCTCCCTCTTCTCTTCCCTCCTTCCCTCCCTCCCTCCCTCCTTCCCTGCCTGTTGCCAGTGGATCAGGCTGTAAAGCTCTCAGCCATTGCTCCAGTGCCATGCCTGTCTGCTGGTCACCATGATGATCACAGAGCCAGGCAGTGTTGGTGTACATCTTTAATCCCAGCACACAGGAGGCAGAGGCAGGAGGATCTCTGTGAGTTTGAGGCCAGCCTGGTCAACGAAGCAAGTTCCAAGACAGAGCTATACTCAGAAAGAAATCCTGTCTTGAAAAACCGAAAAAAAAAAAGTATTATTTTTAAAAATAATACCAGAGAGCTCAGCCAGGCAGTGGTGGTGCACACCTTTAATCCCAGCACTTGGGAGGCAGAGGCAGGGGGATTTCTGAGTTCGAGAGTTCGAGGCTAGCCTGGTCTACAGAGTGAGTTCCAGGACAGCCAGGGCTACACAGAGAAACCCTGTCTCGAAAAACAAACAAACAAACAAAATCAATTAAAATAGACAAAAGCCAAGTGAAGCTGAAGCTCACTTTCAATCCCAGCATTGAGAAAGGAGGAGATTCAAAAGCAGCCTGGGCTACAAAGCAATACTTAATCTCCAAAAAGAGAAGAGAAAGCAAGAGAGGAGCACTCTGCAGTCCCTTTGGGGATCTGGTTGCAAGCAAGGAGTCACCAGGCCAGAGCACAAGGGTTTTCCACTTTCTATAACTCCTAATTCCAAGAGATCCAATGTCCTCTTCTGCCCTCTCAGAGCCAGGCATGCACATAGTACACAGATAGATATACACACAGGTCAAACACAACAAAAAGTTTAAAAAGAAAAAAGGTCCCCAGGAAAGTCTGGTGACCTTGGGTGAAGGATATCTCAAAAACAATTTCTCACCTCAGGTTAGAAGCCTCAAGATCAGGTTAGATACAAGATGATGTATCTCGAAGGGAAGCCTCATGTCAGCAGAAACTGGACAACACACTCATGGGAAAGCTAGGCATCATAGCTTGGGTTCAGAGAATGAGATGAATCTACATGTGGAATATGAAGACTCTGGTGAACCTGGAAGGCGGGAGGAAAGGGTTCAGAGTTAGAAAAACTTCTAAGAAATTCTAGCCAGTAAGCTGGGCATTTGGCATGCACTTATAATCCCAGCACTTTAGAAATGGAGGCAGGAGGATCAGGAGTTGAAGGCCAACAGGGGCTACGTTAGACCCTTTCTCAGTTGAACAAGTAACCAACCGTAGTCCCCAAAGCAGTTTGAGGTGGGACTCAAATAACAAAGGGCAAATGATGCTAACAAATGGTGTTATGGCCTCAATGTGTTTTAATATGCTCACTATCAGCACTATCTATCCCACTCATGTGAAAGCAGGTGATGCCAGGTGTAGTGGTATGGGTCTTTAGCATTAGGGTAGCAGAAGCAGGAATTCGGGGGTGGGGGGTGAGTTCTGCAGCATGCCCTATGTAGCAAGCTCCAGGTCAGCCTGAACTATGTAGTGAGACCCTGTCTTAAAACAACACCACTGCCGGGCAGTGGTGGCACACGCCTTTAGTCCCAGCACTTGGGAGGCAGAGGCAGGCGGATTTCTGAGTTCGAGGCCAGCCTGTCTACAGAGTGAGTTCCAGGACAGCCAGGGCTACACAGAGAAACCCTGTCTTGAAAAACCAAACCAAAAAACAAACAAACAAACAAACAAAAACAAACAAAAAAAACACAAAAAGAAAAAACAAACAACAAAAAAACAGTGAACTAGACAGCCACTTTGGAAAGCTGGCAGCTTCCTATAGTGTTTTTATTTATTTATAATGTATTTAACTTCTTTTTAAAATTAATATTTATTTATTACATCCCAAACTCTACCCCTTTCCTAGTCCCCCCCTCACAGAGTCTCTCCCTCCATTCCCCTCCCCTTCTCCTATGAGAGGGTGCCCCTTCCTCCCAGGTATCCCCCCACTCTGGAATTCCCCCACTGAGGCCAGACAAGGCACCCCTGTTGGGGAATGGATACCACAGTCAGGCTACAACTTTAGGGAAAGCCTCCACTCCAGTTGTTCAGGGACCTACATAGAGACTGAGCTGCACATCTGCTACATACGCACTGAGGGCCTTGTCCCAGCTTGTGTATGTTCTTTGGTTGGTGGGTCAGTCTCTGAGAGCTCCCAGGGATCCTGGTTAATT